AGGGTCATGCATTCCCTCGTATCCAGCCAAGCAGCACATGCAGAATGCCTGCAAAGCTTCAGCAAACAACAGAAGCTGGGATAGTTCTACAGGCATACAACGAAATCTCATGTTCTCAAGCAGAGTCTGGACCATATGAGCATCGTGCCTTATTACTACAAAGGGATTCTACCTCATGTCCTGAAGCAGGTTGTGGGAAACTCTGACAATGGCCATCCAACTTTTGCTTGCGAATTGGACGCGGGCTTGCGAAGCATATCTACAAGGTGCCTTTTCAAATTAAGGATCACGTTTGAAAGTCTTTTTAACGAAAATCCCACTTTTGCTTATGGGGACCTCTGCTTCGAGAATTTGCCGCGGCCAGGGTTGTGTAGTTCTCAAACTTCAAGCCCTCCAAATCGGGCAAGACAACTTGTGCTTCATAAGCAAACGTCAAGATAAGGAAGCTCCACATAAGGGAGCTCATCATGGCAGCTTTCAACACTTCATCCCTACTCTTCGACCCATTCAAGATAGCACAAGAGGCGCTCATTCTTGCGGGCTCTACAGATAGAGGAAAGCATGAGATCGGACAGAGCCAATGCCGTCAGTGGTCCTTTAGGTTTTTGTCTTCAGGGTTGGTCACTATGGAACCTTGTTCTCACAAGGATTCCAACAAACTGCACAATAAATTCGAGTGTACCGTATGGGGAATTCTTCAAGCCCCTAGAAGACGTCTAACTGCTATCGTCACCATGCATTCTTATTGGTCAAACTTCTCTTGCTAGGCAGATGTCGGAATTCACACTGCAGCCTCTAAGTTGGATGACCGCTGGTAGCTGTCACTTGTGGAAGTGGTCAACAGGCGTGCAGCTTACTCCAATGCTCGCGGCCTTTGCCATCGTCGCCGTCTAGTTGAGGCCCGCCACCAATGTTGCTGACCTGCTGTAGGATTTGGAGTTCTAGCGTGTCAGGATGCAGGCCCTAGGCTTGGAGTTTGGTGATCATTGCTTTCACTACACCCTGGCAAGCTTTCGCCGCAGGCTGTTACAACGGTTGCCTTGATACACAACAGATGCGGTAGCCCTAGGTTCATCAGCAGATAAGCTGTTGGAAGCGATGGAGCGTCCGACTTCCACAATCGCAGCGTGTTTACACACTATACTTGGGCTCTCCTTAGCAAATTGTGGACAGGCAGGTAGCAGTGGGCATAATACTACAGGGGCAGCAGTTGCACCGAAAGCCCTGCACGAGTTGCAACAACAAACATCACGAATTCTTCCGGTCTGCATGTACTTTTGCAGGCCCCAGTGGCAGCAAAGACACGGCCGTCGTGGATGACAGCTGCTGCAGTTGTCCCCGACTCCCTGTCAGGCCTTGTCATGCCAATGGGGATCTGGACTTAGAATTTAGGATGGGTGAGGTTCAGGGTATGTGATTTCAGGCTTTGGATTAAGGATTTGAGGCTTCAGGTGTTTGGTTGAAGATGTGGAGGTTTAACAACATGCTGCACCCTTATTAGGGTTGTGCACTATAGAAGAGCATGGTAATCCAACACTGCAAACACAAGGGCCCATAATCCACCAATTTGCACGGGGCCCATTTCAAATGAGATGACCCAATTTTGTGAATTGGGGGGTCTTGAGGTGCGGAGAGGTGCTTGGTGGGGTTGGTGGGGTGTTGATTCGAAGCGATTCGGCAGCTTGGCCTTAGGCCCATGGAGATGTAGAAACAAGCATTTTGTGCTTGACGTGGGGCCCCGGACATCTACAAACTAAATTTGCAAGACGCTAGTCACAAAGCCTTCACCCCCAAACCTTTAAACCTACTTCAGGCCTACTAGGCCATGCAAGACCACGTTGGACAACTCTCCAAGGTCCAGGTAGAGGGACTGCTCTCATCAACGGCATCATGTTCACATTGTCTTCCGGTGCAAGGTCTCATCTGTTTGGGGGTCTACACTGCAAAGCTCCCCGCTTCCCTTTAGTTCGGGGACTTGAGGCTAAATTGCGAGGCTTGCTGGCACCAAAATCCCCTTCGCATTCAAGGCTGCTGTTTGTGGACCCCTCACGCCCTGCGTGATGCGTTTCAGCTTCTAAAGTTTGGATCCGGTAGCAGTCATATGACAGTTAGAGAGGCTGTGGCTTCTGCAGAATCAATTCTGCAAAGGAGCTCAAAATGCCATGCCGCAGGCAACGCTCAGCATCCTTTTCGCTGCAAACCAGGAGCCACAGCGGCTACATGCGGTTTAGACATAGTCGTCTCAACTCAAAGCTGAAAACAGCTGGCGCACCCTCAGATCAAGCTTCCTGAACAGCTTTAACACTGATACTACTATAGTGTTGATCTGAGGGCCTTCCGCGCTTAGCAGCCGTTTCCCTGAAAACCACTCCACCAGCGACTTGCTCCCGGAGCTCCCTACTACGTCCTCCCTTAGTGAACCCATCAGCGATTTGGTGCCTAGTAGGTACCCACAAGAGCCAAGTCTTGCACTCCGCTTCGCGAGTGCTGAGCATTTGCCGAAGAAGCACGGCATGGACAACACTAGCCTTGTCGGTGATATGCTGTCCGTCCTTGTGCACAGTGTCGTAAATAGACTTACAGCCAGTAACCAAAGTCATCTGAACCAGATCATTCCATCCATCATCCTCAACACTACCCACAACATCAGAACCGAACCTGAGCTCGCTAGTTAACACCTGACAGAAGTGTCCCATGCCCAGAGCCATCAAAGCAGCGTGCGTTTCAGCAGCGAAGCTGGATTCTACGACTCTTTTGTTTGCGCTACTTCTCCAGTCCAAAATGTTAATATGATTAGGGGTGCCCTTGGTTTCGGTTGAGCCTCGTTTCACGAATCCAACCACGGCGCCCTTCTGGGAGTACACAAGTCGTCTATCAAAAGAAGACTGCAGCACATCGTCCGCCTCCTGCTCTGAGATTTCCACCCGTACACTCGAATATAACCCCGCATCCGAGTATACTACCAGCTGTGAATCTCTTCCCAGGTCCTCGAAGACGATCTGCATCCTGTGAAGCTTTGCTTCCCTCACGGCTTTATTGGCCCGAACTAAGTCTCCGACCCTCAAGAGTGCAATCCGCTTCTGCAGTTGATTAGTTTCGAAAGCCAAGTCTGGCCGGGACTGAGTAGCGAGCCATTGCAAACTCAGAGCGAAAGTTACCACGTTCCTCCTCCGTGGCATACATTTCAGGGTTTCTTTTCCTGTCCCTCGACACCTCCATTTCCTCTAACCGTCCATCTATGAACCCGTCCTGTGACAGCAGTATCTGTTCCCTTCCGGCGACGTTTTGAAGACGAATCTCCTTCCCGCAGTAAGTAACCCCGCTAGGTTTAACACGGTCCCACGTCCCGAAAGGAAACCTCTTAGCCAGGGTTTCAGCAGCTTGCGCGGCCATCCCGGAACCATCATGGCAAAACATCAAGTCGTCAACATGAACCACCATAACCCCAATTAAGGTTCCCTGACGATCGCGAAGCATGAATACTGCAGGATCTATGTAAGACTTGCAGAAACCAAGTTCACCGGTGAGGACTCTTGCCAGCTCGTCATACCAAGCTCTTGGGGCATCAGGCCTTCCATAAACCGGCTTCAGCAGCCGGAGTAACTGGTTAGGTTTAACTCCGGCAAGTCCTTGTTTCGGTGGCTTCATGTACATAGGCTGCTTGCCTACCAATGGGGCCCCTTGAAGGAACGCATTGCTAATGTCTCCTATATACCAGTTCTTAGTCCACCCATAGCTGACAGCCATGTGCAAGAACAGCATGGTTGAGACTCGCTCCACGGTGGGAGAATCAACCTGAACTTGCCCAGTTTGAGCATCAGGACATAAATGTCCCTGAAGACACAGTCGGGCCTTAGCCCGGGTGGGGAGAGGTCTACCCTGTTCATCAACAAGCCCGGCATTCTTGTTCCTAAACACGTACCTGCTAGGTAACACTAAACACGCACCTGCTAGGTAACACTCTACTGGGACACTCTCTCATCACCTGCTCACTCTCTTCCTCGCTCAACACTTCACAGCTATCATACTGTTTCCAACTATTCCATTCCTTCTCTTGGGCCTCTTGATACAGTTTACGTTCGTTTTCCGGGATCTTCTCATAGGGGATCTCTTTGTCCATCATGCGTTTCAGTTTGTTCTTACTCATGGACTTCCCATAGGCCACGGTATGAACACGATGAGCTTCATTGTCGGCCCCCTTTTGTTTCTTCATGCTTAAAAGGACATCCTCAAGACACATCTCCCGTTTGGTCTTGGTTTGAAACACGGTGATCAGCAACTCGGCAGGGGCTTGACACAAATAACTGTTCGGGTTCTCCAGGTCATGCCATCTAACATCTTTCTCAAGGCACTGCCACACTCCGTCAAACATTCCCCAAGTAGTCCGAAAAGGATACTTATGGACATCAAGCTTAGCTTCAGGAGTTCAGTAAGCCCATGCCTTTTGGCTAACAACGACCGGATTGCCGGCTTCATCTCTTTGCCATCCCTGAGTCGAAACAAGTTTGCCCAAACTACTAGGAAGATCCGCAATCCCCTCAAGTCTACTCCCGCCGGTACTAGCCAGTTCCTGCATGATAGGCTGCTGTTCGACTTCCATAGGTTCTTCAGTAGGAGCCTCTTGCATGGTCAAATCCTCAAACGTAGCCTCCTTGGGGGTCTTCTTAAACAGAGCTATAGCCTTTTGGATTTGGGGATCCCCAAAATGTTTCTCATCACCACAGGCCTCACGCAAATGCTCACCTGCAACCAAGAAACACCTACCCCCAACAGCAACCCAGGCATTACTCCCTTGAATCCCAACAACGTACCCCGGACCAACCCATCTACTCGGTTCTCTTTTCCGTTCACTTCTCCAGAAGAAAACCATCTGCCCAATCCTAGGATTAGTGATTTTACGGACCCTGTTATGAGCGGTACGGGCTAACATTTGCCGGGCCTGGGATTTGATGTATTCAAGTTTAGCATGGTACCGGTACTGCATTCTTCTAGCAACTTCACTACCGGGATCGCCCACTCTGGGATGTAAAGCACTTGGCTCCTTCACGGTGCAACTCGCCAAACACCCTTGGCTCCTTGCCAAAAACCAGAGCCACAGGTGCCCAGCCATGCTCACGCGCGAGAGTGTTCTTTGACCAAGCCACTTCCCTGCCTACAAGTCGCATCTGCTCTCTCCCTTTAGGACTAGTCTGTCGAACCACAGTCCTAAGCATGTCCTTAATGGTTTGATTGTGTCTTTCAATCTTGCCCGCTTGCCAGTGCGCCGTGCCAGCTATCGAGACCAGTGCTGATCCTGCTTCAGACACGCGTGTCCAACACTCCTTACCCCGAAAGCCTCCTTCAAAATCTACACTGACTTGAAGAGGAGGACCGGCCCACTTAGACCAAGCTCGATCAAAGGCTTTGTTGAGTTCAATGGGACTATGATCACGCAGAAGCTCAACAATGTGATAGCTAGTAGCTCGGTCAACAATGGACAGAAACCAGTGGCTCTCACCTCCGGAATCATGCACACAGATGCAATCCAAATGGACCTCGTCTCCAAAAGTCACTGAGCAAGGGGGTATACTCGTAGCCCTATGAGTTTTGGGCCTAGTAGAGTGAGCACATGACAGACAACGCATCCAATCAACCGCTTCAATAACTTCTTGCTTAGCCCCCCCCAACCGAAGAAAACGTTGCAAATCTTTCTTACTAGGGTGACCTAAGTTACAATGGGCTTTCTTCAACCCTTCCCTAATTTCAGCACTTAACTTACGTCCCCTAGGAACTTCAAACCTTATGCCGTCATGAGCCAGGGAGCTTCGGAGCGGATGTCCCGACTCAGGATCTTTAGAGTCTTCGATCAACTCTTCGTCGCCATCAGAGTCCTCCAGGGGTTCGGTCATGGGAGCATGAGGCTGTGGGGTCTCAGGATTTGACCCCACAGCGAAAACAGCACTCCACCTAGCAAGAGCTTTGGCTATGTTCTTTTCGTTCCATCTGAGGTCGCGGATAAGCTCCTGACGTTCACTGCTCCTGATACGTGCCGCTACCTGTCTAAGCATGCGTCTTATCCTACTGGGTTCCTTTCTTCGCAAGGTCTTCACGTACCCCTTACAAATAGCGGCCGCCACTTTGCTGGAGCCTCTCTCTGGCCCTTGACCAGAAGCAGAGCACCTTAGAGCAATCTCCTCACAGACCTCAACAGACGTACTCATCCCAAGAGACAAGCTTTCGGGTCCAGATTCGGGTTTTATACCTCCCTCGGGTCCACAACTACGCGCAACAACGGTGGTATACACTTCGGGGTGATCAACTAATTTCCGTATCGCCGTCTCTTTGAAGGAGTGGTTCCCCACAGACCTTTCGGCAAGGGCATCGTCTCCTCGGCGGATTTGCTTCTCGAAAATCTCCTCAGTGAACCTTATGAACCCGGCATACTGAAGACACTTCTTCCTAACCCTACGTCTCTCTTGGGGTGAGGTATCAAGGCTACTTGAGAGAGCACACCGTATCCTACGAGGACACGTCAAAACAACCAGTCGAGGTTGACAGCGATCAACCCACTCCAATAGCCGGCGCTGGCCATCAGCGTCGCACACAACATCATCAGACCCTAAGCTTACAGGACGGGCAGCATTCCATCCCCAACGGGCAAACTTCTGAGTGACTTGCGCTTCCCCACCCACAAGTTCCAACAAATCAGGTCTCACTACAGAGCCCTGGGGAATGGTCTGCATTGCCATTCCGACAGCGGCACACGATGCAATCATCACACTTGCCGCAACTGCCTTTGCGTTGCCAAGAAGTCTTTTGAGAGCACCCCTCTTAGCAGCCCTACGTCGCTCAGCACCCTCAAGAATACACTCACGCACTTGCTTTGGACTTCTTGGCATCGCCGGAGGCTTACAACTCTTACAATTCTCATTGTCAGAATCCTGTCTCAGCTCAGACTGTGAAGTCTGTCCTGCCGCGGCGCACGCCTCAGAAGTGGACGTCACTTCTCCTCGCTCATCTTGGCTTTCCTCATGTTGTGAATGATCCTCATCTCCTCGGGCGTGAGGTTGGTGTTGAAGAGATGTGCCTCCTTCTCCCCATCGGTGGTCTCCTCGATAGGAACTCGACCTGTCCGCGCCCACGACCCATCTGACGAACTTGCCCGATGCTCGTCTGAGCTCTCTGGCGGTAGCCGTGAGCCGACCAACGTCCGCTTGGGTCCTCCCTTGCGGTTCTCGCCCTTGCCCTCCTTCTTGGCAGTCTTCTCGTTGCTCTCCTTCTGGGCATTCATTTGATCTTGCACTTCCTTTGTAGGTCGCCCCCCGTATGTCAGGGGAAGTGTCTGAGCGCAGAGTGGATAGCGGACGCATCCGAAAAAGTCCTCCTTGGTGAGACGATTTGTTCTCACCAAGAGAGGTATTTGGCATTTCGGACACAGAGGAGTCTCCGAGTACACATCCTCCGGTGGCTGATCTCCCATCACTTCGGTCACCCACATCTCGATCTCCGTGACAAGCTGGGGACGATTCCATCGCGCCCAACGCTTGTCGTTTGCCCTTCCCAGACCGGGACACACCTCTTTCTCGTAGATCTCCTTCAGGGCTGCCACATCCATCTTCTTCCGTCCGACAGGAAGAGGAGATTGGGGCTTCTTGGGCTTGACCATGCTCCAGATCAGCTTGAGGCGCTCGACGTCGTGTTTGCGAATCTCTTCCATCGCCAGGTTGGTCCGGATGTGGATCGCGTGCACATACTCGTCCTTGCGCTTCGGTGTGGTGAACTTGCTGGCCATCACCACGGCTTTCACCTCTTCCCTGAGACTCGTGAGGATGCAAACTAGCACTTTCAGGCTGAGCCACAAGTCTGCCATGAACATCATGCGGAGTATTCGAGCATGGGCTCTCCACTCCATCCTTAGCTTTAAGTGGCTCCTGGTGATTGGATGCAGTGGTGCAAACAACATCGCTACCCCCAAAGGTCCTGGTGTTCGGGACTTTGCTCAGCGGGAAACCCAGGCTTAGAAGGGTCTTCTTCATGGTGTCGTCCATCTGCGGCTCCGATCTCGCAGTGTAGCAAGACAAACACCATCTCGTCCCCGTCCAAGGCTGGGTGGCGCGCTTCTGCTTTGGATCTAGGAAGTAGGGTTTCTCTCGAGTATCCACGTTCACACCTGGAAGCTTTCGGCCATTAGCGTACTTCCTAGCAGGAGGTCCTTGGTTAACATCACTCGACCCTGTCACCCACAACTGCCCTCCGTCGAACTGTCCAAAAGTCACCGTTGCAGTGAAGGAGTCAGTAGCATTATGGGCATCTGTATGGATGTTGGTCATGACGTTCTTCAGGACAACAAACGAAGTCCAAGAGTGATCAACCTTGTCTCGCATGAACCTGTTGATGTACTGAATGGTCAGGGGAAACTTCTGCGAGGTCTTAGCAACTCCAAAGAACCCACCATGCGCCCAGAGTCCAGCCATCATGCCACGCCGCCCCTTGCGACTTCCTCCGTTGATACCCCTTTGCCGGGCCTGATCAAAGTCTGGGAGGTGCTCAACTACTTCTTGAAGTGCCTCGTAAGAGAAATTCCTCTGCTCCAGAAACTTCTCAGACAAATGCTCACACTGCAGTTTGGAGGAGGGTTTAGGTGGGGCTACTTCTGGACACACATGGACTTCACTGTCGTGGACTTCCTGATCCTCCAAGAAGCCGCCCAAAGAAACTTCCATCTCCCCAGCTAGCATTCCTGCCGGAGGGAACTCCAAACTTCCAGTATACACGCTTTCAAGCTTGTTGATTTCGAAACCACACAACCCCGACTGAGTCTCAATCAAGGTCACCTCAGTTTCCAGTTCTGCAAACTCGAGGGTGGCGCGGCCCAGGTCAAGTCTGGCTCCCAGGGCTTTCAAAGCTCCCTTGCTCAACAGCAATGGAACATCCTGATCCACCACACTGACCCTCAACCAAGGAACTACACATCCACCTCCCACATGAACTGGAAAGACTATGCTGTATAGGGACGCAATCCGAGGGCCAGCTCCAAAACGGAATGGCCGGGCCTCATCCACAACATACACATCTACTCCGGCCTGACGCAGATGAGTCATGTGTGCTTTAGCCCATTTCTCGCCAGCCACAGATCTTGCACAGCAAGTGTCAGATAGCGCCAGCAGGAAGTCATGGTCGTGCCCATGGCTCGAAACAGCACTCGCACACCAGTTCTCAGTTCGCGCATCTCTAGTCTCCACGCTGGCGGCAAGAAACACGTTCACTGAGGCTGGCATATAGTCCTCATCCGAGTCTGAGAGCTCATCTTCCACCACAGCCATGACATTACTTCCAGATCCCTTCGCTGCTCGCTTGTTGAAAGGGCATTCAGAGTCTCCATGCCAGTGGCCATACACCGTCTTGCCGTTCGCCTTGCAAGCCGAACACGGCATCTTCTGCTTGAGCTCAGCAATCCTTTTAGCCCTGGCCTCAACGGACTCCCCCTTTCCACCGCCTTTTCCACTCGAGTTCCCGGAGCTGAAGCCTCGGCGGGCCTTTTCCACTTGCGCCCGCTTACGAGCAGCTTGCGTAAGCAGAACCTGCAGCTCTTCCTCCAACAGCTCCGGGGGCACCTGGCCGTCATCGGAGGCTATCCCATTGTCGTTGTCAACCTCCTCGGCGTCCTCCTCCTGAGTGGTGGCGTGGACTTTTGCGGCTTTGCGCCACTGACGGTTTCCTCCGTGTTGTTGATACTGGCCGCTACCATGCTGCTCGTCCTCTTTATTCACCTGAGGAACGATGGCCATCACAGCACTTCTCAGTTTCGCATAGTCATATTGGCCTCCAGCTGCAGCCACCAGCTGCTTTCTCAGCTCTGGCGACAGTCCCGCCTTCTCCAGAAACCAATAGGCCCGGGTCACCCCGGAGAGACCCGCCCCGATCTCTTCTAGCCTTTGACCATGTCTGCGAAACTCCATGTCGTATGCCACGAACTCTTGCCCTTTTGGCCTTCGAAAGCCCTTGTAAAAGTCAGCTAAAGGTCTGAAACGTCCTCAGAAACTCAAGCGGCTCCAACTCCTTCCACAAGTGATCCAACAGACGCGAAACGCCTTCAGGATGTTTCAAGGACTCCAGTGGAATGGATTCCGTGGCCAACCACGCGTTCCCTGTAAGCTTTTCCATCAGCTTCTGGGCCCGGTAACTTGGATCTATCCCCGTGCTCATCTCAAACAGCTTCACTCTTCGCTGGTATTCCCGCATGGGACCACTGCCGTCGTATTCGGGGATGAAATCTTTTCCGCTGGCCTTCGGAGCCGCTGTCTTGCTGGAAGAAACGGCATCTTCGTCAAGGGAACCTGTTCCCTCGCCGCCTCCCCAAGTATCATCCTCCATGGTGGAGGCTGATTGTCGTCGTGCTGCATCACCGGATGCCTCATCTTCGCCACCGCCTCCAGAGTTCCCTGTCGAACCTCTGGACCCTGATTGCTGATGTCCCGGCTTCTGCTGAGCATCCGAATCACCTTCCCAAGCGGTGCTTCTCCACGAGTCGCCACTCCATCCGGGAGTCCAACTCCAGGACCAGTTGTTGTAGCCAGTCCCTTGCCAGCCGCATAGGAGCCCCACGGGTTGCCTTGCTGCCACTGCCACGGCTGCCACCCCCACCCTGCTGAAGGTGGGGAAGTTTGCGCTGCTGGTTCCTGCCTAGGAGCCTCCGCCGCTTCGCCCGCTGTCTCAGTCCCGCCGCCGGTTGCCATGAGACCCTGCTCCGCTCCCAATGCAGAATCAAATCTGCAAAGGAGCTCAAAATGCCAT